TCCACCACTTTCTTTAGGGATCCAGGCTAGGTGTGTATTTCACCCAAATCAAAAGCCTTGAGCCTCCACTATTGCCTGACAGTGCCAGCTGTTTGGACTCATCTCTGAAACTCAGGGGATAGTGCGGTGAAGACCAGATGAACCTCTGAACCTTTGCCCTATGTCTTGATGATCTTATGACTAGGTGTTCCGCTCCTGGCCAGATAGCTAAGTAAACCCCAAAGTAGACACTCAGCACTTGTGCCTGCAACTTAGGAGTCACTCACCTGTGTACGTGTTGTGCTGCAGAAATGGGGCCAGGCCAGATACAGGAAGACCCTGTCTGTCTCTTGTGTAGGAATCAGAGGGCTGTAACAGGCAAGGTCCCACAGATGGATGCCTATTCAGGAGGCCCCAAAGGATTAACTGTGCCCAGGCAGGACCACCCTTCCTGGTCCCTGGCTGAGAAGAGGAAATGGGGCCTGGCAGGGACAGATCTCTGTCAAAGAATCGCAGAACTTTTAGCTTCTTGTCTTATGAAACCCAGGCACCCCTCTGCCCCATAGTCCTGCTACTCCAGCCCTGTTACATCCTTATAGATGAAGAACAGCCAGCCCCTTCTGAGGTGTGCGCTTGTGACCGGTCCCTTCCCCACCTTTCTCCTCTGGCTGAGTCACCCTGGCTTCTTCCCAGACGTATCTTCATTGTGTTCTGCCTCATGTCCCCACCCCAGCTCTGAAGACCTGAACTGCACCGCTGGGCTAGAGCAGCGGCAAAAGGGGGCGGTGACAAGAGACTCCTATGCCTGGTTGTTGTCCTGAGCACCTGCCACACGTGAGGCGCCTTGTGTGTATGTGCATGCGTGCGCACACGCAGAACACGACTGTTCACTCGGCTGTGCCTGTGAGTGGCCAATGAGGCAGGGTCATTTGGTCCTGTTATGTTCTGTGTTTACCCCACACCCACATCCACCCGAGTTCCATGTACCCCAGGGCCCTCTTGCCAGGTTTTCAGTTTATTTTTTTCTAGAGGCCTCCGATTGTTTCTTGAAGAAACCCGATCCCGAGCTCAGACAAAAGCTGGGGCTGCCAGAGGAGAAACCCCATTCTCTCCCCCTGTCCCATTCCCCCACCTCTATAACCTTTCTCGCTTTGGATGCTGGGTATGGGTTCCAGGACCTGGCTGCCATCACCTAGGCAACAGGGGGCTTTGGTTGCTATGGTGATCAATGTGGGAGAAGCTGGGCAGCCGGGACAAAAGCCCCCACATTCCCCTCAGCCCTCCCCCCAATTCCCTTGGGACGATACTGAGACATTCCATTAATTTTATTTCTGAAAGGCCTTTGGAGGGGAGAAGGGTCTCCTTTTTGTGTGGGGCTCTCTCTGCTCTCCCTCTCTCCTCTTTGGCCTCCTTTTAACCCCAGATAATCCATGGCTGGTTTGAGTAGGGGACTAGGTGCCTGTGTTTGTGTCCTGAGAAGTGGGGGTGAGTGGAAAGTGGGGCACATTTGCTTTTTACAGCCTCCCACCCTCTGCCCCTCAGCTGGGTGCAGCTCTCTGCCCTGTGCCAAGTCCAGACTTCTCTCCTGTCTTCTCATCGCTCTGACATTTCTACTTGTTGATCTCATCCATGGGTCCCCTCCCCCAGCTTGTTTCCTGGGAACGCTGCCCACCCGGGAGACCCTCCAAATCTGATTCTTGAGACCGATTAAGTAAGGGGGAACTTCTGCCCATCTTTCTGCCTACCTTTTATCCTTCCCCAATGCTGGGATTAGCTGCCTTGGGTACCCAAAAGGATAGCAGGCAAAGGCTTCATAAGTTATGGTCCTTTGTGCCCCCTGTGTTTGGTAGTTGAGGGAAGAGTATGTATTGTTGCATTTTGGGTAGCTCCCTCTATGTGGGGTTTGTCTTTTGCTAGGGAGAATGGGAGGGGGCTGCAGGCTAAGTAGCTCAGAACAAAGAGTTGGGAGATGGCTGGCACCCTGTGTGGCTTGAAATTTATCTGCAGGGGAAACAGAGCAGCTTCACCTCACATCTGGGTGTGTTTGCAGTAGTGGGTCTGGTAGGGGTGTGTTCGAGAGAGAGTTCTTTATTTAGTCGTATACTTTATTTATACCACCGCCTTCCCTAGTTTCAGAGGAAGTGGCTGGGGACTGGAGTTTGAGAGCTTATTAATTGCTTAACTATTAGTGGCTGCACGTTCTATGGAAGCACACTTCCTTCATCCCTGTGTTCCTCAGAGCTACCCCATGAAGGAGAGGTATCATCACCTCTTGTTTTACCAAAGGGCGCACCAGGTGGTAAGCACAGAAGGGTCAGAAACTTGTCCACAGTCACAAAACTCAGCATTGGGAGAGGTTCGTTTTAAATCCAGATCTTTGTGTAAATCCCAGGCTCTTTCTGCTGTTGGCTCTGGCAGATAGAGTGCAGGTATTTGGGGTGAGGATGATGAGCAAGAGGGCTTTCGTGTCTGTCTGCATCTAATCTATGGCACTTGTTTGCATTTTACTTCACCCACCACTACCCCACCATCTGTTGGTCTTAGAGCCTCCTGGCAAAGTTCAGTTTTTAAGAGGAGAACTAGAAAGAATAGGTGGGAACCACATCAAAAACATCGCAGCCGCGATTGTCTAAACCGTATGGAGGAGTAAACCAGTAGAGTGGGTTCCCAGGGGAGGGGTAGAGGAACCCAACATGTAATTTGTAGACTGAGGGGTGAACATGGCATGGGCCCTGTTTGTGGTCCTGTCTTAGAGAGAGAGGTTCAGGTTTGGGTTGAAGTCTATCTGCCCCCAAAGTATGTCTCTATCACCTACTGCTTTGTTGTGGGGGTATTTATATCACTGGCTCATGGATTGCTTCCATGTGACTCTGTTCGGAGGAGAAATGAATAGATTTCACATTGATGATGCTTATCTCCCCGCAAAGGCAGTTTCCCTGATGGTCAGACAAGCGTATTCGTTTACTAGGTGGGTAATCGGTTACTTGCCCTGTACCCACAGGAGGGGAGGTGTCTGCAAATACGTATGACTTATTCTGCTCATTCTCCAGTTGCTGGTGATTTAAAGTGGTTGGAAAAGGGGTAACTCCAAAAAGCAAGTCTGTTCCAGTGGGTAAAACAATGGACTTCTCAGCAGCGTTGGACCTGGTTGTACCTATTCCTCCCTGGAAGTCCGCTTGTCTTGTTGACTGCCTTGATACCTGAAGCATGAAGGGCAAGCTGGACCTCCCCCCCCCCCCCCCCCCCCATGTGCAGTTTGGAGTCCTTGCATCCAATTACATGGTCCTCTCCTGAGCTCAGTGTGCGGTCTCTGCCTGTGACCCATACCTCCAGCTCAGACTCCAGCTCTTTGGATGCCCAGCTGTGCATTCCCCACAGCCAGTACTCACAGCCCTCCTCAACACGTTTGCTCATCTCCACACATGCTGTTTCATAAACACTGTCCTCCCAAATGGGTCTTCTCCTTCTCCACCGCCTTACCAGATACTCAGTAACTTCTCCCTTGCTCAAGCTAGTTTTTTTTTTTTTTTTTTTTTATTGCATTTTACTTACTTATCTTGTGGTGCTTGACTGGGTGTTTTGTTGCTACTCACCCACTCAGTCAGCCTTTCATCGGGTCTGGTTGGTTCTGTGAGTCCATTTCTTACCTCCTCCTTGGTTCTGGTGGCCAAGTCTTCCTGCCATGAGACCTCCTCACTGATCTTTCCATTTCTGCCTTTTCTTCTTTCCAACCCAAATCTGGACAGCTAAATAGGCTTCCTGATAACCTTCGAGTAAAACCCGACCTCTTCGCTTGCCTCCCGCTGCTTCTGTCGTCCTTTGTTGTCCTCAGCTGTGCTGGTTGTTAAGTGCACAGAGCCCTTTCTTGATCTGGCCTTCCCTGATGTGGTTATCAATTCCTTCCCGTCCTGGGACTTTCTCTTCCTTTCTTGGGCATCCGTTTAAGTGTCTTTCTTCTCATGTTTCCAGACACTCAGTTTATCTCCATGGGCCTGGAGATGTAGCTAGCTCGGTGGTAGCATGCTTGCTGAGAACACAGGGTTCAATCCCCGATACACTTGCCTGTTGTCATCTAACCCTCACCCCACTCACATGGCTGCTTGTATTTATTGGCTTAGCTGTTTAGTGCACATCTTCCCAGACCATAAACTCAGAGTCAGTTACACCACAATACCCAGGGCATAGCAAAGTACGTAGTTCAAAGTAGGTGACTTTGAGAGGCTTGCTCCATCAGTGAGTGAAGACAGGAAGTGCTCAGGGCACGGTTGATGACTGAAGTTCCTGTTGCCAGCAGCAGTGGAGAAGATGACCCAGGTTGCTAGAGTAGCTAGGGCTTTTGTGAGAGTTGGGGCTGGGCTCTGGAGGATGGTGGGTGGCGCTTGGAAAATTAGGGAGGAGATACCATACTCTGCTGCAGAGATAGACTGCAGTGTAGATAAAGAAGGCTGCCCATCAGCCCAGAGTGGAGAGAGACTTGGATCTTGCTTAACCAGAGGTTTTAGGGTTTTGGAGGATGCTTCTATTACTTCACCATGCTGTCAGTCTTCATCCTCCATCCACCCATCAATGAGACAGAGAGAGAGAGGGAGAGGGAGAGAGACAGAGAGAGAGAGAGAGAGAGAGAGAGAGAGAGAGAGAGAGAGAGTCTTTGTGAGCTTATACATACACATGTCTGTAAGTTAATGTTTTCCTGGCTGAGAATAGGAAAGTACTATATTGATTCTTCCCAATGGGGCATCCAAGCTGGGTTATTTGGGGTGTCCTTCTTGCCCTGGGAGCTTGTACCAGCATTTCCCCATCCCTGAATACTGGGGACACTGTGTATGGAGGATCTTTCTAGCTGGCAGAGCAGGAGGAGCTGAACCTATTGGACAGAATGGGAACCAAAAATGAGGTATTCTCACTTTTGTGTCTGGGCTACCCAGAGCTTCTGGTGACATTTGGGGATAGTTTTCTTTTGTGTCCTCACCCATGGGGAGCCCCAGCTACTCCTAAGCAACTGCTTTATCTCCTTAGGGATCGTCGCTTGAATTTCTCTGAGATAAGCCCACTCGTCCAGCAAAATAGAGTCCCTCAGGGTGACAGTTGACTTCCTAAAGGTGCCTCTTGGCCTGAAGAAGCCCGTGCTGAAGGAGGTGGCTGTGGGGCCCCCCAAGAGGCCCCAGCCCGCGATCCTGGAGCGCTACAAGGCACGGCGTTCAGACGCCATGGACACCGAGTCCCAGTACTCGGGCTATTCTTACAAGTCGGGCCATTCCCGCAGCTCCCGAAAGCACAGGTGGGTACGGCTGAATGGTGGAGCGGTCTGGCTGGTGGAGAGGTGGTATAGGTTGAGGTGGGCGGGGGCAGGGGACCGCTAAAAGATTCCCCTCTTGACCTTTTGGTCTGTTTCTCTGGCTTCCTGCTGCAGGGACCGCCGGGACCGACACCGCTCTAAGAGCCGGGATGGGAGCCGTGGAGATAAATCGGTGACAATCCAAGCTCCAGGAGAGCCCCTGCTGGACAATGAGTCCACGAGGGGAGATGAACGGGTGAGTACTGGGGATAAAGTGGTTTAGAGTTGACATTTCCTGATCCCTTTCGGGGATGTGGAGACTCCACTAGGCAAGGGAAGGGCTGAGAGAGATATCTGGTCTCCTAGGGTAGATACAGGATCCAGAAGGGTATCTTTTTGTTTTTCAAGATAGGGTCTCCTTTTGTAGCCCAAGCTAGACTTGAACTCATTATGTAGCCCAGACTGGTCTTGGGTTTTGTTTTGTAGTTTTGTTTGTTTTGAGACAGGATCTCAGAGTGTGGCCCTGGCTAGCATTGAACTTACAGAGATCTGCCCGCCTCTGCCCCATTAATGCTGGGATTAAAGGTGTGTGCTACTATGCCTGGCCTCCAGACTGGTTTAAAAATGGAATCCTTCAGCCTCTGACTCCCAAATGTAGGGCTTACAGGTGTGCTCTACTATTCCCTTCCTTTGTTTAGTGTTCTACAGTGGAGCCTTGTTGGAATTCAGGGGATTTTAGAGGAAACCCTTTCGGAAGCACTAGCTCCTACCCTTTCTCAAGGGTTTTGCTGAGTAAGGAGAAATGTCTCAACTTCTCCGAAGCCCCTGTCAGCAAGTCAGGCTGGTGCAGGCTGCAGTAGGACAGCCGTAGACCACAGGTGTCCCTATAGTCTGAGGTTTACGCCCCCTGCTGTTAGCATATGAAACAGCATCATCTAGGTTCTAGAGAAAAGAGCTTTGGGAAGAAGAATAAATGGAGCTAGAAGAGGAGAGGCTGAGCAGTTAAAGGAGGCACCCTGGAAAAGAATTCCCCGGGGCAGAGGGAGCCCTTGTTTCTGCCCTAACTTCTGGTTCACTGCATTCCCTGGGTCGAGAGGACAGCAGGCAAAACACAGTCCTGGAATTTAGGAGGGACAGGATTTGCAGTGACACTGAGATTGCCCAAGTCTTATTTTTCCTGCACTTTCTTCTTGGAATCATCAGGCAATGGAGACGCTTAGCTTCTTTTTCCTCAGCGATCCAGGCCTCGGAGATTTTTGAAGTGATCTTGAGACATGACTAGGCCTTGATCCTTGAGAGGGTAGACAGTGTATCTGGGGTCACCAAGTGAGGGTGTGGTTCTAGTCCCACAGCTGACAGTGGCCAGCTTTTCTGCTTTCTATATTCAGATGGGATTCTTTCCCCATCCTTGGGAGAGGAGATTCCTCAACTTGCTAGTCATTGGCCCTTCCAGGACACCCTCTACCCTACCCTGCACTGTGTGGCTCAGTCCTGGAACCTGCATCCCCTTGGTTTCAGGGTATGACTCCATGTGCCCAGGCTGCCCTGGAAGTGAATTGTGGGTACTGAAAGTCCTGGTGGTCTCGAGATTTCTTTGTAGGATGGTCTCTAGCCAGAAAAACAGATTTGGGTAGATCACACTCTGAAGGGCACCCGAGGAGCCCAGCTTGTCCACTGCTTACCTCCACAGACCCTGTACCATGGTTCTTCAGATGGTTGCCCAGCAGAGCTGGCTTCATAGAGACCCACGGTGACCCTGAGTCTGCAGTGTTTCCCATATCCTATTTAGATCATTCACAGCTCGTCCTATCTCCTCTTGTCCCTTAGTGAGCAAACAGTGGTAGCGTCTCATGGTTGGAGGGTGGATGGCTTTTTAAAAAGACAAGGTCTCATGTAGCTCAGGCTGGCCTTGAACTTACTAATGTAACTGAGGATGGCTTTGAACCTTTGATCATTCTTCCTCTACCTCCCCAAATGCTAGGATTACAGCCCCCCCTTTTTTTTCTCTTCTTTGAGACTGTCTTGATCTATGGCCCCGGCTAATCTTGAGCTCACACAGTCCCCCTGCTTCAGCCTCCTGTGTGCTGGGATCATCATGGGTAACCTCTCTTGATGGGATAGATGTCTGTCGCTTAGCCTGGCATTGCCACATGGCCTGCACAAATGGCTTTTGACTTCCCTTTCCTAGGCTCTCTGCTCTCTGCCCCTGCATCTCCAGCTCCCCAAATCTCTGTCTGTCTTCTGTTGAAACCATGGACTTCTGCAAAAGCTGGAAGAAACTTAGGAGAGCCCTAAGTTGAAATAGTTCCCGGGCATCTTGTTAAGTGCAGACTGTGGCTCAGTAAACGAGGGCCGGCGTGTGGTTCTGCGTTTCTCACGTGCTCCCACGTGACTCCCACACTGCTGGCCCGCAGAGTGCATTCTGACAGCAGCCCCGGGAGATCATTTAGTTCAGGGTTCCCAATCGTGGCTGAGCATTATAATCATCTCGGGAGCTTTTTAAAAAAAGGTTGACAAGCAGATCTCACTTTGCATAATTGGTATGTTTTCCGAACTCCCTAGGTGATTCTAATGTGTGCAGCTGGGTTTGGGAACCACTAATTCAGATGAGCTTTTGCGTGTCACCAGCCGCTGGAGGTCATCTCGGGTCCTGCTTTGCCTGGCAAACCTGCCCTTGGGTCATTGTCACTGCCCAAGCTGTTTCCTTGCCAGTTGTCCTGTGCTCTGTTTTTTGGGGGTCGTCACCGCACATGTCATGTTTTCCTCCCCGATCTCTGTGCAGCTCCCCAAGGACTTGGGTTTTATATTTCGATTTCTGCAGCGATGCGATGGGCACATGGTGGAGCTCAGTGAATTCTCTGATGACTGTATTTTTGTTGATTTCCTCCCTTCTTTCTGCTGTCTGCTTTCCCATGTGCTCCTCTGTCTTCTCTGCTTACCCTTTCTTCTTCCTCCCCTTTCCGACTGTAGGATGACAACTGGGGAGAAACAACAACTGTAGTCACAGGCACCTCTGAGCACAGTATCTCCCACGATGACCTCACACGCATCGCAAAGGACATGGAGGACAGTGTCCCGCTGGATTGTTCACGCCACTTGGGCGTGGCAGCAGGGGCCACTCTGGCACTGCTCTCTTTCCTCACCCCGCTGGCTTTCCTGCTTCTGCCTCCACTACTGTGGCGGGAGGAGCTGGAACCGTGTGGGACAGCATGCGAGGGCCTCTTCATCTCCGTGGCCTTCAAGCTGCTCATCCTGCTGTTGGGCAGCTGGGCTCTGTTCTTCCGCCGTCCCAAGGCCTCGTTGCCACGAGTCTTCGTGTTGCGCGCCCTGCTCATGGTGCTCGTCTTTCTGCTTGTTGTCTCCTACTGGCTCTTCTATGGCGTGCGCATCTTGGATGCCCGCGAGCGCAGCTACCAGGGTGTGGTTCAGTTTGCTGTTTCGCTGGTGGATGCCCTACTCTTTGTGCACTACCTGGCCGTAGTTCTGCTGGAGCTGCGCCAGCTGCAGCCCCAGTTCACACTCAAGGTGGTGCGGTCCACAGATGGGGCCAGCCGCTTCTACAACGTCGGCCATCTCAGGTATGGGTGCGTGGCAGTAGGTGGGACTTGCATAGGAAGATGAGACCTGAAAGGGTTTGGGGGGAGGGGGAGGGTGTGATGGTGAGGACAATAAATGATGCATTAGAGGGGCTGGGTGGAAGGACGTTTGCACACAATAAGAGAGTTCAGTGGCATTTTCAGCCTAATGGCAAAGTCATATGTTGGATTGTGGGCAAAATGCCTGTGATTTGTGAATGGGGAGTGATAGGCAATTCAAAATCTTAGAGGAGGATGGATCAAAGGGGAGAGGGGTGTGGAGCATAAACAGAAGGTTTCTAACCTTTTCTTGGAGGCACAGCTTCCGGTGAGAAGTCAGTGAATGTTACTAGAGATAGAAAGTCACTCCCACCAGGCTTGTGGGCAGGATGTCCCCCTTCCTCCTCCTGGCTGTGCAGAGCATCAGTGGCACCTCCCAGGTCCTGTCAGTAACCTTGGGAGGCTGTTAGAGGGGGATGAGGAGACCTTTGGCTGGTGCCCTTTAACCCCTGGGCTTCAGCATGCTAGGAAATGACTAGAAGACCCGGCCTTGGGAAAGGTTAGGGGTCTGGTAAGTAGACCTCAGGCTTGAGCCAGGCTTCCTGGAAGCAGCTTGTCCCTGTCATGTGTCCTCTCCAGCCCTGCCGACCTGCCCTGATGTGTCCCTTCCCCTGCGCCCCTTGTCTGTCCCTTCTCCCTCCCCCCTACCGTCTCCCCAACAGCATCCAGCGAGTGGCAGTGTGGATCCTGGAGAAGTATTACCATGACTTCCCTGTCTACAACCCCGCCCTCCTCAACCTGCCCAAGTCCGTCCTGGCCAAGAAAGTGTCTGGCTTCAAGGTGTATTCTCTCGGAGAGGGTGAGCGGCCCTGCTCCTCCGCCCCTCCCGGCCTCTTCCTAAACAGGACTCCAAGCTACTTCCCTTGCCTTTTCCTTTCTCTGGCCTGTGTCCCAGCCCCCTCTGTTCTGTCATTTCCCTTGACTTCAGGTAGCTGGTCTTAGCTGCTGATCCTCTTTATGCTACAGTGTATTCCCTGGTTTAGCACCTGTGTCTTCTCAGAGCCCTGGTCTCTCTGTCCTTCGGCCCTGAACTGCAAAGCCTTCTGCATCAGGAGGCTTATAAGCAGGACTTCTGCCCTTCCAATGCCTTCCTGGTTGCTTTCCTGCGGTTTCTCCCAGAGGTGGCCAGGAGGGCTGGGACTGGGAGGCATTGCTGGGTGGTGGGGACATATCCTCTGGATGTGTCAGGCCATTTTCCCAGAGCTCCAACAAAGCGCAGAGGCTATACTCTTTTATTGACCATCTCCTCTATCCTGATCCCGTGCAGAAAACAGCACCAATAACTCCACTGGCCAGTCAAGGGCTGTGATTGCGGCAGCAGCACGGCGGCGGGACAACAGTCACAATGAGTACTACTATGAGGAAGCTGAGCATGAGCGCAGAGTGCGAAAGCGCAGGGCCAGGTGGGTACCGGCTGTGTGAGTTCAGGGCTTGGTAATACCCGAGGGAGGGGAAGAGCCAACAGAAAGGGGATGGGGTGCCTGTGGGATGAACTGGGGAGAGGAAGTCCAAGAGGCTCTTATACCTGCTGGAAATAGAGCGTGATGATAGAACAGTGTTTTGCATATTCATTTTCTGGTGCTTCCGTGACTGGTTAGCACAGACTCAGCAGCAGTGAAATAGCACATTTACTATCACTCTGTTCCATGGGTCAGGTTCAGGTGTTCTGGAACATCTGCTTGGACCTTGAAGGCTAAAAATCTGTACAGCTCTCCTCTGAGCCTGGGCTTCTCTTCCAAGCTCCCTGGCTTTTGATGGAACCACTTTCATGTCATGTCTCCCCACAGTTTCCAGCTTTTTCTAACAGGAGCCTACTCTTTCTGACTTTTGTCATCTGCAGGGAAGACTAGTTTTTCAGGCCCAAAAGGATAATTATCTGTTATGTGTGTGTGTGTGTGTGTGTGTGTGTGTGTGTGTATGTATGTTTGTGTTTGGATGTGTGTATTTGTATGTGCATACATGTGGAGGCCAGAGGACAATCTGAGCTATTGTTCCTCAGGTGTTGTTCACTTTGTGTTTTGAGATGGTCCTTCATTGCTCTGGAACTCACCAAGTAGGCTAGACTAAGCTGGCTGACCACCAAGTCCCAGAGATCTGCTGGTCTTTCCTTCCCTGGTGCTGGGATTAAAAGTGTAGGCCATCATCCTTGGATTTTTTTTTTTTTTTTTTTTTTTTTTTTTTTTTTTTGTTGAGACAGGGTCTTACTATGTAGCCCTGGCTAGCCTGGAACTTACTGTGTTGCTCAGGCTGGCCTCAAACTCATAGAGATTTGATTGTCTCTTCCTCTCCAGAGCTGGGATTAAAGGTGTGTCCCACCACACCTGGCCTCTTTTGGTAAATTCTTAAATGCTGTCTTCACTTTTCTCTTTGTCATAAGAACTTAAATCATGCTGGAAGAATCTTTCTCAATGCCTGCTGTTGCCAGGCTCTACCTGGAGCTTCCAGGATTGCACCAGAGAAGAGATGAGCAGAAATGTGGAACTAGAACATCCACCCCGCCGTCTGCCTACTTCCTATTCTAGGCTTCAATGCAGAGAGGCAATGCAGTCTTGGTCTTAATATAGCTGGTGTCCCCTGGAGAACAAAGACCACCAGTTCTAATTCTGTGACATTCCCCCTGGTTAGGGTCCTGGATATCTTGGCACATGGGTTTATTTCCTCTCCCCGTTATCTCGCTTGTAGCTGATAGGAAACGTTAGTTCACCTGAAACAAAAAGATCTTTTCAAAAGAAACTTGGCTAAGAAACTTAGGGAGGCAAAAGGATGCACAGAAAGGAGACATGCAGACAGATTGCATGAACCAGCCCAGAGTTCCCTCATCAGCTCATGGGAGGTCCTGAGGTGTCTGATTCTGGGATATAGACCTCACATCCTTTCTTGTCCTGTCACTCCAGGCCAGTCCTACTCTTAGGGCAGTGGGTTTTATTTTGGTTTTTGGACTTAGAGTACAGAATATTTCTTACTGTCCTCAGCTCTGTGGTCCTAGTTTCTTCGTAGTCTTTCTTCATCTACTTGAGTCTAGTTTGAGTTCCTTAAAAATCTGCTTGTGTTTTTGTACAAATGATGAGTTGTTGGTTTGTTGGCTCTGTGTAGTTAGTGTAGACTGACTTTTGTTTTGTTTTTGTTTTTTTTTTTGAGATAAAGTCATCTATATAGCCTTGGCTGGCTTGGAACTCGTTATGTAGACAGGCTGACCTCGAATTCATACAGGTCTTCCTGCTAGACTGAGTTTTTTCTTCTTCCTCTTTAATGTATTTTGAGGTTCACTCATATGTTCTGTATGCCCCGTTCATGGCATGTTGTTGGTGCGCTGTAATTCATAGAATGCCTCTGACTTCCTATCCATTGTTAGGATTATAGTTGGCTTCCTTTAAAAAAATTTTTTTTTTTAAATTTTTCGAGACAGGGTTTCTCTGTGTAGCAGTCCTAGCTGTCCTGGAACTCACTCTGTAGACCAGGCTGGCCTCGAACTCAGAGAGATCCACCTGCCTCTGCATCCAGACTGCTGGGATTAAAGGCGTGCACCAACACTGCCTGGCTGGTTATCTTTCATTTTGATGAAGAAGCATCTTATTAATGTTTTATTTATTTTTAAAAATTAAAAATATTATTTTATGTGAATTAGTGTTTTGCCTGCATGTGTGTGTACCATGTGTGTGCCTGGTGCCCAGGGAGGTAGAAAAGGACATGGGATCCCTTGCAGCTGGAGTTACATACATCTGTGAACTGTCGTGTGGGGGCTAGGAACCGAACCTGGGTCCTCTGAAAGAGCAGCTGGTGCCCTTAACCACTGATCCATCTCTCCAACCCCTTACTAATGTTTACTTTGTATCTCTACTTGCCTAGTTTCTTTCAGGTTTCATATGAATCCTTTACTTCCTTGGTCTGATTTTATTTGAATTTACTTAGTTTTTTGAAACAGTCTCACTATGTAGATAAGCCTGGACTGGATCTGTGATTCTCCAGCCTCTGTTTACCAAGTGCTGGGATTATAGGAATGTGTCATCATTCCTGGCTCCTTTGCCCATTAAAAAAATTACATGTATTTGTTTATGTGTATATGTGGCCACACACACTTCAGGGTTCGTATGGAAGTCAGAGGACAACTTTTGGGTGTGGGTTTTCTTCCACTATGCAGGTCTCGGGTACAGAACTTAGGTTGTCAGGCTTGGTGGCAAGTCCCTTTTGCTGCTGAACTACCTTACCAACCTCTTCTTTTATTCGTTATTTTAAAGATTCTTACCCTTTCCTTCCTGATTTGTAGTGAATTCTTTGTATATTTCAGATACCAGTTCTTTGTTGGCTTTAGCTGCTGTAGATAACCCCCACCCCGCATCTGCCCCAGTCAGGTGTCAGCCCTGCCTTGCTACTGTGGCTGAATAGAAATGCCATTTCCAGAGCCAGGAGTAAAGGCTCTTACTGCCAAGCCTGATGACCTGAGTTCAATTCCCAGAATCTGTATGTGGGAAAGAGAGAAGGGACTTCTGTAACCTTCACAGAAGGCATGTACATGCCCCCCTCATATAAATAACTGTAATAATGATAACAAATAATGATGATGAGCCATTTCCCTTGACTCATATCTATCAATTTTTGTATAGTGTAGTGTGGTGTGGAGTCTTTTCCTAGGGTCCTATGGGATACTTGGCCTTCTCAGTACATAGTTCCTAGGTGTCTTTCTAGATTTGATGCTAGGCCTTTTCACTTTAAGTCCCTAGTCTGAGTCCACTGAGTTCTACAACTTGTTGCCTGTGAGGAAAACACCGATCCCATCTCCTAATCCCCATTGGAGCCCTTGGCTCCAAATGGGCCTCAGTCACTTCAGGGAGAGCAGAGAGGCCTGACCTCACTGTGGCTGCAACAGTCAGAGCCAGTGAATGGGTAGAGGGTAGGATGAGCAGTGGGCATGTGCTGCAGATACCGCCTGTCCCCCAGGCTCGTGGTGGCTGTGGAGGAGGCCTTCACTCACATTAAGCGGCTGCAGGAAGAGGAGCAGAAGAACCCCAGGGAGGTGATGGATCCCCGGGAAGCAGCGCAAGCCATCTTTGCGTCCATGGCCCGCGCCATGCAGAAGTACCTTCGCACCACCAAGCAGCAGCCTTACCACACTATGGAGAGCATCCTGCAGCACCTGGAGTTCTGCATCACTCACGACATGACGCCTAAGGTAGGCCTGCTGCTTCCAGACTTTTCTCTGTGTCCAGCGTCTCGTTCCTTTTGTCCTTGGCCATTTTCCCTGTTCTCTCCTCACTCACCTTCCCTCTCTTTGTCTTCTCTGTAACCTCTTTTCTCATCCCCACTCCATCTGTCCTGTCTGTGGAGTGGAGGAGGCAAGGTTAGGCTTCGGAACCATTTGGGGCATGTCAGAGGCCCGTTTCTCTTCTTTATAAGGCTCTGGAATGTCTACATTCCAAGTCTCACCTTTAACCTCCTGACTCTTCGCCCACAAAGTAAGCTTTTGCCTGTGCTTCCTTTTAGCCATTGCTTACCTCAACCCAGCTGCCAGCTTCCTAGAATGGCTTTCTCGGAGCCTTCTTTGGGGAGTGGGTGATAAAGAGGCTGGGGATGTAGCTCAGTGCTCTAGCTGAGTTCTTGATTTCAGTTACCAGCAAAAACATGCACGCGCGTGCACACACACACACACACTCGCATACACACACACATGTATATACACACATACACAGATATGCATACACACATGTATACACACATGCATACATACATGCATACACATACATGTGCACATGTGTAAACACACGTAAACACACACAGGTATATATGCACACAATTTTGCATTGGAATCTTTGCTTGGCCTACTTCCCTCTGCGTGCAGAACTACATGGTGCTAATCATATAAGCTGTATGGAAGGGAAGGAAGGAAGAAGGAAGAATGAGGGTCGAGTTGCCCTGGGAACAGCCTGGCAAGGATGGGGGTGAATTCTGTTCCTGACTGGAGCTCTATCACGTCTGTGCATGCCATCCTCCTCATCTATACATCAGGCTTCTCTCAGGCCCTCTTCTGCTCTTGCATTTGAAGAAGCTTGTTCACGTGGATAGAATGAGCTCGAAACATCTTGGCTAACTTTGGAAGCTTTGTGGCAAGGATTGAAGGATGGGTGGGCAGGAAAGATGCCCAGGCAGTGTCTTCTCCCTTCCTCAGGCCTTCCTGGAGCGGTATCTGGCAGCTGGACCCACCATCCAATACCACAAGGAACGTTGGCTGGCCAAACAGTGGACATTGGTGAGCGAGGAGCCGGTGACCAATGGGCTTAAGGATGGCATCGTTTTCCTCTTAAAGCGCCAGGACTTCAGCCTGGTGGTGAGCACCAAGAAGGTGCCGTTCTTCAAACTCTCTGAGGAATTTGTGGATCCCAAGTCACATAAGTTCGTCATGCGGCTGCAGTCGGAGACCTCTGTGTGACTTTGCAGCATCAGGGGAGGGGGATGTGGGGTTCCTGCAGAGTGCTCTGTGTGACTTTGCAGCATCAGGGGAGGGGGATGTGGGGTCCTGCAGAGTGGGAGTGGCTTGGGTCTCTGACCCTGTCACATTTCTGCCGCCCTACTTCCTCTTGCTCTTGTTTTTGTTTTGTTTTTTACTTGAATTAACTTATCCTATATCTGGTCTCCACCCCTCTTCCCCAGTTTTCCCGTGTAAATCTGGAGAGACCACCTTGCTTTAACAGTATCTGGGAACCACCCTGCCCCCCAAGTTTGTATCATTCCAGGCTCTGCAGGAAACAGTGCCTCTTACCCAGTTCTTCCCCAGAGTGTCCCCTGGATGGAAGTCCTTTCTCAAAGGGCACAGGGCCTTCTTGATTGTACCCTAACCCTAAGCTCCCACTTAGCAAACCTAAGTTCTTAGAGCCCTGCTCTCCAGTGGACCCTAATAGGGTTTCTCTGGGGGGCACAGCTTTGACCCCAGAGAGCCATGGTGCCAAACTCCTGCAGGACAGCAGCTAACCTTATTCTCTGTCCCCTCCCATAGCCCTGAATCCCTGGGCAAGGATGCACCTGTGACAATAGTCCCAGCATTAGTATTTTCCCTGCAGTGTTACTAGCTTCCCTTTGTTACAGCTGTACTTTCCTGCTAAACACACACACACACACACACACACACACACACACACACACACACACACACACACACACACACACCCACACACCCACACACACCCACACACCCACACACACACACCCCAAGCAGGAAGTCCCATCTTCTACCCAGGAGTCTTCACTGCTATTTCTAACTTGTGTGAGCACATGATCATAGGCAAACTGCTTTGACCACTTTTCCAGGGCTGTGGACAACTCCTGAGGGGAAGGGCAGGATAGACCCCTGAGGTTGGAGAGACCCTTGTCACTTACCCTCATCCTTTCTGAGCCGTTCATTCCCACCCTTACCCGTGAAGGATGCATGCTGACTTGATGATATGCGGACCCCGACCAACCCTGTGGTCTAAGATATTTTTCTTTTCTGCTCCAGCTACCCCAGTCCTGCTAACTTCCAGCTCTAGAGACCTGTGGCCTCATCTCTTCTTAGGGGAAGGGCCAGCAGCTCCTTTTCATGCCCTGCCTTAAGTCCAGTTCTTTGCCTCAGGGGTCTCTTTTCCATGGCCTTCCAGGGTCCCATCCTCTTCTCCCTGCCTCGCTTTCTAGGCTCTGTATTGGAGTGAGGGACCAGGATTCCTGCCTTTTGTGGCTCCTCACCCCATCTTAACTAACAGAGTCTTTGCACCGAATCTGAATCTCAGTAATTTAAAGCTCACTTTGAGCAGGATTCACTAACCCTTTCTTGGATATTTTCAGAGCCAATTTGAGCCTTTAAATCAGACACCTTTAAATTATTTTTTATCACAAGGAATAGAAATAGGAAATATCCACATCCATCCTTCCGGGATCCCTGTGGAGGATGGTCCTGAGGGCTGGGGTGGAGCAATGCCTCTGGGCCACTTCTGTAAACCAGTCCCAAAGCCCCTGCATAGGCCCTCCGCTTCCCTGGAAATGTTACTGGCATTTGCTGTGCCAAGCACACGCCGAGATTTGATCCCCATTGATCTCGATGAGAGGCTGTGGGATCCACAGCCCACCTACCCCTTACTAAGGGGCTCATCCGTTAGCGCTTATTTTGTTCCCACGGGAATGGGCTTTTAGAGCTGACTTAGACAGGGCCTCAAGGTGAGCCTAGGGCTGTGGTAGAGGTTCCTGGATAGACTCCAGAGAAATAAATCTGTACGTGGGTCATGGGATGGTATCTTCTTTTTTTTTTTTTTAAAAAAAAGGAAGAAAATCAGGTTTCAGAGGAGTCCTTTTTGGGTCCCGTGAATACTTCACTACCCTGGAATAGCAGGGCCTGGATGGTGATTGGGGTTGCTGCCTTTGTGGGCAAGAATGGGGTGTGGTTGTTGGTTTGAGCAGTGGGCGGGGGGTGGGCAGAAGGAAAATATTTGGGATCTTAGTTGATGCCCTAGGGTTAGGGGCATGGAGTGTTTATTTTAAGAACCTGCCATGTTTTTAAATCACTGTGATATTTTCATTCCTTTTCCCTAAAACGAAGAGAAAGAGTTTCCTTGACTCCCTGTCTAAGCACTAAGGGCTGTGACTAAGAATGGTAGCGTTTTGGTCCTTTGTGTCAGAACTGTGGTATCTTTGTCTACTTCGGTTGTTATTAGGTTTTAAAATGTCAGGATGAATTGTCAGGTGTATAGCTCTGTGCGTGCGAGAGAGAGAGAGAGAGAGAGAGAGACAGGGGCAAACATACAGAGACAAACACACACAGAAGCAGACAGATGCACACACAGAGGAGAGAGAGAGAGAGAGAGAGAGAGAGAGAGAGAGAGAGAGAGAGAGAGAGAGAGAGAGGAGAGAGAGATGTGTGTCTGTGTGTCTGTCTTTTGCTTCTCCAGAATAGGACGCTGTCTTCATGCTGTGAACTGCTATGGGTGGGTAGCTGACTCAGTTCCTCTGAGCAGCCCCTCCCCCTCCAATCCTGCCCCAGCACTCACTCGGTTCTATTCTTCCACTGTAGGAATGTGCCTACCCAGCCCAGCGCCATCCCCATAGGGGATGCTTTGCTGGGCTACTTCAGTGCGCTTGTTTCTCTGTCTGTGTGGCATCCTAGCTCATCTCCACTGCACAACTTGGCCTTTGTTTTGATGACCTTGGAGTGCTTACCTCTCTTCCCTCCACACCAGGACACCGTGCCTCAGTCCTTCACCTACCTCACCACTCTGTCACTTGTCCCCATTGGTCCCTTTCTAGTTTCTCTTTGTTTTTATTTATGTCCCTCCAATCTCTCTCCCTTCGAACCCCTTCCTCCCATCTCTTACCTTATGCTTTTGCTCCTAGCCAGCCACAGCGTTCCCACAGCAAACCCTGATTTAAGGAGACAGGATTCCTGGGAAGTCCTCACAAACAAATGTTTGTTTCCCAGGGTTTGTGCTTTCCCTGTTGGTTGGATCTAGCTCTCCCTTGTCCCTCCCCGGTGTCTGTCAACCCCCCCCCCCCCCCCCGCT